ATTAGAAGATGGCCTATTAAGAATGAATTTATTAAAAAATTAAGTGACCTAGTTACAAGAAAAGAAGAAAAGCCTTTAGAAATAAAACTTATAAAAATGAAAGATGTATGCAAAAAGTTCAAACAACCAAGTGCTAGTGTAACAATTAAAGACTTACAAGAAGAAATAAAGAATTTAAAAAGAGAAATAAATGAATTAAAAAAAAATCAAACAGTCTTAAAATTTAAATTATTAGAATTAGAAGGTAAAATATATTAAAACGACAAGTAAGTAATGTTGAAAAAGAACCAAAAATATTTAATATGAATTTATTATCATTAGTAATAATACATAAATGGTGATGTGAAGTGACTTTAATAGTAGAAGAATAAAAATTTAATATGATAGTTTTACTAGATTCAGGAGCTGATATTAATTATATACAAGAAAGTTTAATTCCTACCAAATATTATGAGAAGACAACAGATAAACTATCTTCCGCTAGTGGATCTAAGATGCACATATTATATATTATCAAAAAGAAAAATTTGTAAAAATAAAATATGCTTTACAACTTCTTTTGTATTAGTTAAAAACATGACAAATCAGATGATAGTAGGTACACCCTTTCTAACATTATTATATACTTGTAAAATAAATAATGAAGGAATTATAAGTAATGTTGTAGAAGGAAAATCAAGTTTAAATTTCTACAAGCTCCTAGGATTAGAGAATTAAATATATAAAATAAATTTAAACAAAAGTAAAACCAAATTAAAATGATTAATGAAGAAATAAGTTATAAAAAAAATAAAACAACAACTTAAAAAATCTAAAAATACAAAAAATTATTAAAAATTTTAAAAAAAGGATAGAAAGAGAGATTTGTGAAACAAATCCAATAGCCTTTCACTCTAGAAAAAAAATATATGAAGTTTACCTTATGAAGGTTTTAACAAAAAAAAACATTCCAACAAAAAGCAAAACTAACACAAATGAATAAGGAAAAACTACAATATTGTAAGCAAAAGTTAGAACATTATTTAAAAAATGATTAATTAGACCATCTAAATCTTCTTGGAGTTGTAAAGGATTTTATGTTAATAAAGCCTATGAACAAGAGAGAAGATCCCCAAGATTAGTAATAAACTACAAGCCCTTAAATAAAATTTTAAAATGGATTAGGTACCTAATACCTAATAAACAAGATCTAATCAAAAGATTAGTATGTGCAAACAAGGATTAAAAAATGCTCCTAGTGAATTTCAAGAGATTATAAATATTATTTTTTTATCCTTATTTTCAATAGTATATCGTGACGACATACTTATATTTTCAAAAGGAATACAACAGCATGTACAACACTTAAATAAATCCATAGAATTAATAAAAGAAAATGGATTAGTAGTGTTAGTCAAGAAGACAAAAAATATTTCACGAGAAAATTAGATTTCTTATATTTTAAATATATCAAGGTACAATTACACCTATACAAAGATTATTAGAGTTTACCAACAAATTCCCAAATCAAATAAAAGAAAAAAAATACAATTACAAAAATTTTTAGGATGCTTAAATTACACATCAGATTTTATTCCAAATATAAGGATAATATGTGCTCTACAAAAGACTAAGAAAAAATCCATCATCCTGGGATGAAAAAATGACTAATACAGTCAAAAAAGTAAAAACTCTGGTTAAAACTCTTTCATGTTTAGGAATACCACATCCTAAAACCTCTTTAATAGTATAAACAAATGCTTCAAATTTAGGATATGGAAGTATACTAAAATAAGTATTGCCCGAGAGCACCAAAGAACAGATGGTAAGATACCATTTGGGGATCTGGCATTCTACACAACAAAAATATTCTATTATTAAAAAAAAATTATCAATAGTATTATGTTTACAAAAATTTCAAGATTACCTTTTTAACAAAAGATTTCTAATAAAAACTTATTGTAAAACAACTCCACAAGTTTTACAAAAAGATGTTAAAAATTTGGTTTCAAAACATATATTTGCCAGATGGCAAGCCTTATTATCCAATTTTGATTTTGCATAAAACATATAAAGGGAAACAATTTTTTTTTACCAGATTATCTCACAAGAGAATTCATATAGGAAAAAGATGTAAAAAATGACCAGTTCCAATTATGAACCTCCTAAAAAGAAAGAACCAAATCCTCCACCAACTCCTACAAAACTTGATAAAGGTAAAAAAGTTATGACAGCATTACAAGCTCTACAAGCATCTCCCAAGCCTGTTACTCCAACAAAACTAACCTCTAATCCTAACAAATTTATAGTATTATCTTCAAACTCAACCTCTACCAAACATTCTCATGATCCTACCCATCCATAAAAATAATATCATGAAAAAGAAGATAACATCCTTGTGATGCCAATAGAACAAGAACGGTTCTCTTTACCAAGAAATGAGATTGCACAAAAGTATTCCCTTTGGGATGCCATTTTATACCCACGTTTTCACAACAAAGGCGTGAATTTTATGAGCTAATTCTAGCAGACACAATCTATAGAATTAACACATCATAAAGATCATGAAACACAAGAAATTGTGTTTTCAAAATTTAAAATAAATGAAATTGTGACAATACAAGAATGGGGACAGCCCCGGATGAGGACATCTAGTACCAGGACCACGGACAAACTCACGCACCAAGGAAGCTCAAGATCCACTTGAAGACTTAAGCGAACTGATGACAAGGTCAAGAGTTAAGAAAGCCCAAGAAGCATTAGCACATGAAATACATCTTGTGTTGGAAGCCCAGCATCAATTTGAAGCTTATGATATCAAGGAAGATCCATCCATAAATTGTTGTAGCAAGACTTGAACCTAGGTACTTGTGACTAAGTGTAATCCTAATGACCACTAGGACATCTTAGTTTACTTGTACTAAAGGTGCTTTTCTTTTTCTCTTGTTCGATTTTAATTAAGCAAACTCTTATTTTGCATTGTACTAAAAACACTTGGATTGAATGGAAAAGAGGACAATTCAGATTGAACAAAATTTAAAAGTGTGAGATTTTCTCTCAAGGCTAGGGTTATTCCTTGCTTCTAAGCTCAAGAATTCTCATTCTTGTGGCGATCAACTTAGACTTATCAACTAAATAGGTTTGTGGCGCCTATCCTTTGTTCTTTCTTCTTCTATTTCTTTGTTTTTATATGAAATAACAATGAAAAACTTAAATCTAGCTTAGGGTTTAAAAATATGTAAAGTTTCATCCTAATCCTAAAATTTTATTCCAAATTAACCTAGATCATATCTCCTATTATACATCTTTTTTAGTGATTCTTGAGCCAAAATTGCATTTCAAAACTTGAACTTTAACCTCGTTTTAGAAACACCTCAATCCAAAATTTGTGGCAAGAGATACAACCCAATTTTATTTCGTCTGCAACTGCATATTTCCTTTCTTGTTCTTGTTTGTTTTCTTTCCTCAAGTTAATTCTATCCTCCTAATTTTTAGAGTTCAAGGTATACATTAGAAACCCTAATTTCCTCTTTTAATTTGAGTGTTTCTAGTCCTACTTAGGTCCTTTTCTCAAAAGGGGTTTGAGAAACCTCATCAACCCCTATTCCAATGCAAAAGTTTTACAAAATATTAGCTTAAACAATATTATTATTTTGATTATATAAACGCATGGAGAAATATGATGTATCTTAGACCAGCAACCCACTCCTGATTTATTTGGTTTAAAAAAGGAATCTCATTAAAATTTCCCAAGTGGTTTCGTTACTGGTATCATGATTTTAGAGTAGAAATATCAATATTTCCTAGAAAAGCTAGAATAGTTGTGGAATATTTTAGAAGAAATACAAACCATAAAGTTATTGTGGGAGTTACTTGGGTTATCATGTGGGAATATGACTCTGTCAAACTTCATGAGCATAAAGTTATGCAATTACTAGTACAAACCATAAAAATAATATGGTGGATAAAATTCAATCTTGATCTTCTTAGCAGACAAAAGATAGATTAATGGTTACAAACTCATGCCAAAACTCCTCATCAAAATCAAAAGTTTTTGGGACTTCCTCCAGAATATCTAAATCCTCCAGCCAATTCAACAATATCAGAAAAAAGTAATCAAGAAGTTTTGGTGCAAAAATTCAAATTAATAGCAAGTCTTCATTCAATGAGAATAGAAAAAGAGTTTAATGAAATTATGCAGCTAATGTCACCAAAAATTTCATAAGTTGCCTTTGAAAAAGAAGAAGCCCAAAGTAAGCTAAGTCCAAATTCACTAGAAAACATAGAGGATTTAAGAGATGAAAATAAAATTGACTGTTATAGAATTTTCCTTCTCTTTCACCAGAGGCAAAACAAAGTATTGGCAAAGCAAAAAAAATAAAATAAAAATAAAAATAAAAAATCTTTATTCAATAATAAGTCTGAAAAAAGAGTCAGCAAAATAAACATGAGAAAAAAGATTTGACTAAGAATATATTATTAGCAATGATAAGAAGATAAGAAAAAAAATTTCTACATAAAAAAATCTTTCCCTATAAAATCCATTATCGGGAAGAAGTGATCATCAACAATTTCTCAAGACCAATATTCTTAGAATTTTGTAAACTTTTTTGAAGCTCTTATAATCTTTCTTTCAATATTTTGTATCAGTCTCATCAATGTTAATACAAAATCTATTTACAGAAGTTATCTCTCAATATTATTATTATTATTATTATTATTATTATTATTATTATTACACGGCATGTTCTTGAATTTTTCCAGTTTAGGTAGGATTTAAGTTTGTAAAATTGATCTCATAAAATAGAAACAATTTTTTTTTCTATTTATTTTAAAGCTCATTCATTTAACTTTTATAAAATTTAAGAAAATAAATTAATTTTAACTTATAAAAAATTATTATTTTTATAAAGAATTTTTTCTTTATTTAGAAGTTTATTATATGTGCAATAATTCAACACCCATCTCAGACACTAAAATACATAATTAAATATTAGTTTAGGATATAGATCCCTCTAGCAAAACCTAAATTTCTAACGACTTGCAACTACAATTTAGCGCGTAGCCGGAAGAGAGACAGGCCCGTGAAATAGCAACGCGGGGTGGCAGGAAATGAAACCATTAGTCAAATTTAACCCGAGAATAAAGGATTAAGAGTATCTACCAAATGAAGTACTGCATCTTAAATTGTCCTTGTTTATGAGATGCAGGACGCTAGCGTACATTAGTCAAACATCACATAAATATTTTACAATTTGGAAGAGTGCGCATCAATATTGAGAATCCATCCTCCTTGATGCAAGCTTCAATGAACCAGAGAATTCTAGAGGCATGGTCACAGACATCCGGTACTCTAACCTGGTCAAGACACAGCCAACTATTTCTTCTTCCTACCACCACCACCCTTGGCCTTTTTGTGGGCTTCTTTAGCATTATTCTCTGGTGTTTCCTGTAAAAAAAATTATCAAAACATGGACCTTTCGAACCAGAATAATAAAATGTTCAGCCAACGCGCTTCTACTGCTTCCGGTTTTTTGGAAGCATCTTAATGGCTTAATTACATTTCTTATTCTTTTAGTTTAGATATGTATAATTTTGGTCCCTAAAATTTTTTGAATCAATTACAATCCCATATTTAAAAAATAAACAAACAAATTTAGTTTTTGTACCCATTTTCATTCACCCTAAAGTCTTCAAATTTCTGAGTTTTCTATCCAAATATTTGAGTTTATGATAGATTTGTAATATGAAATAATTTAGAAAGTTTGGAAGCTAAAAATTTCATAGAAAATAGAAATTTGATAAATTTAAAGGATTTTGTAACATGTGAGATTAGAATTTGAAGGATGTAATTGTTTTTTTCTTTTTATTTAGGTGAAATTTTATGTTTTGAAAAGTTTGAACAGAAGATTTAAAATAACTTAACCAGTTTAATTCATAAAAAAAATTGTGCAGAATGAGGATTTGAAGATTTAAGAAAATTTCTTAATTTCAAATAGAGGATTTATTTGGCTCAAAAATTTCTTAATTGATCTTTACTACACTACACAATACTATGTCATTTCAACTTTAATGTTCATGTTGAGCTTTGTCATCAATTCATCATTATAGAACCTTACCACACACTATTATAGCATTGTAGCAATGAAGATAGCATCAAACTGAAATTCTTGAACTAGAGTTCAAAACCAAAACTAAAACCTATAAACCCATAGAGCATCACCTCTTCTCACATTAAAATTCTTAACTCCTCACCCCACCACCATGTAAGAGTAAGCTCGGCACACCAATAGTGTCATGGTGACATTGGGGCAGCCAATGGTATATAAGCCAAATGGATGGCCTGTTATATAATCAATATTCTTTCGGATAATAAAACATATAATTACAAAGAAATAGTGAAACAAAGACACACGGAAGAAATGAAAGACAAATCAGATAAAACAAACTCTCCAGTCCTTTTGCATCTCTGCCTAATGAATAAGACTTAGTTTCTATGTGAAAAAAAAAAAGACCAGTGAGACTTCATAAAAGTTTAAAATATAGCAACTGACAAGATCCACGTGCCTATATGCTAAAGGAATTAAAAGTGAATCCACAAACAACAAATCAAAGGTAAGAGATTTACACTATTGGTAGTAAAATTATAAAGGAAAATGTTAACCTCAGCCCCTGAGGATAAGCAACTAATAACAAAAAAAATTTATTGAAAAGAAAAGCATTCATTATACTTTTACAACTTTAATAATAAATATGTACTTTTTCCATAAAAACTTTCTATTTTATGAATGCTTAAACTCGGGCTCAGGTTAACAAAACTCCATTATAAAATATGACTTGAACATTGGTAGAAGGCTTGACATAACTTTCAAATTACTCGTGCAAAATTAGTAGAAGAATTATAAGAAGACCAGTTAAAGATTGTGATCGGCTAAGTTTATCAATCCAAAAGACACTATTATCATGTTAGCACTTTGAAATGTTGGTTACTAAAAGATAGATTATGCATAAGCACAAAAGGACTTTGGAGGTTCACCAGGGCTATTCAGCTTCAGGCACCAAAGCAGACACCTCTAGAGAAAGGCACAAAGAGCCTGGAACCCAGATTACATATAGGCAAGTTCAACTTGCCAAAAACCATGGGCCTTGACCAGTTAGAAAGTTGCAGAGAGAACATCTTATGCTCAATTGCTGGTTTGAAAGATCTAAGCATGCATTTGCTTTCCTGTCATTAAGTGTAGCCAAAATTATCTACCATATCAGCTTTAAGATTTCTACTAAATATGGGGATAAAAAAATCCTGTTTCTGGTTCATTTCTCAGGTGTGGAAGGAAAGGCATCCCATTATACTAATTTAAAAATATGGGAGCAAAAAATAGGGCTGAAGAGCTCCAAATCCACATTTGGTGAAGATGATAGGATAAATAAATTGCTTGCCACACTAATCAATGGTTCAGTTGCTTTCTTCTGTAGCTAACATTCATCATCACATCTTGAATAGATATTCAATTTTTAAAAAACAAAGTCTCGTATTTGGATACATGAATATATTGTATATCTGTATTTCGGATTTTAAAATAATATACTCCATTGTTATTTACACATTATGTTAATGAGACCTTTCATGGAATGAAATATTTCTTTTCTCATCCATATAAAATCATATGAGAATGAAAATAGTGCAAGGAAACAATAATTCATTATTTGTTTCAAGCAGAAAAATGGGGGAAAACAGCAGAATAACTGAATCATGGCCAGCTGAAAGTCCAACCACAAATGTTCTGGTGAAGAATTTGCCAGGCCATCTTCAAAAAATTCTGGATGTTAACAAACAGTGGAGATGATAGACATAATGGATACATACCTTCCGTTTGATAGGTACAGATGGATTGGCTGTTGGCTTAAAAAATGATTCCAATCTGTTGTTTTTAGAAAGAAAAAAAAAATTAGGTAGGACAAAAAAAAAAGACTTGACACTCATGTCCAATGACCTAAAAATCACTTACCGGCCTTGTGATGACTTGTTCTTTGCTGCTTTAATTTTTTCTATTGCCTAACATTCATATAGAATAAAGAAATCATAAATAAAGTTTTCAGAAGAAGCAAATAGCCCATTGAAAGTTTGAAACCCTATTCAAACGGTCCATAAGACTAACATTTAGAGCTACATACCTTTGTCACTCTATCACTGTTGAAGCCATTCTCATTTACCAGAAATGTGAGTAACCCCTGTAAGAAAGGCAGCATAATGCGATCTAGTTATCTTGCCAAAGAACACAATATATAGATAAAACAAACATGCAAGTCAGTATGTGAATCCTGTGCCTTTGAAAGGATATTTGAAGTTCTCAAACAGAATAGTTATTACCACTTCATCTGGAGCAGACCACTTTAGATTAAGTTCCTCTTCCTCAGTTGTGACCATCGGTTCTTTAAAAAGCCGCCGAGCTTCCTGATATGGCCAATCATCTGGTATCTGGTACCTGAATCCATGCACTCACTGTAAGTATTTCGAAGGATGAAAGACAAACACCATAAGAAAATATCATGACCCTCGCATTTATTAGAAGGAGCATTGAGATGGGATGACCGAGTCTCTAAACTAAGGAAGCTTTTCTAGTCTCAACTGGTGGTATTGATCCGAAATTAATCATTTGATAAAAGTAGCTTAATGCCAAACAGGTTCTATTGACATAAGATGCATTAATAAAATCAAACCATGACATAAACACATTACAAGAGCAAGTAGTTGTGGCACATGTATCATATAAGTGAACTCATTATTAAACTTAGAAAGACACCCACATATTTGAGCTTGATGTCTGATTTGTAACACAAACATAACAAAGAGAAACAAATAAAACTTATTCCACAAGTTTTTGTCATGTGACTAATACTTATTAAATTGCATACAACAGAAACAGTGTATACAAAATTATGTTAAAAAATACATAAATAAAACCTCTCTTTGTTTATGTTCTCCAGTATATTTTCAATAGAGCCATGTTGTCGTATGAGTTTCAAAGCTGTCTGTCCTCCGATCCCTGTAGCACACATCATTTGCCATTTATGTTATCACTATATACATATGCATGTGGAGCTCATACAGAAATCATAAAACTAAACTTGAACCAAGCATCATACAAATAAATATAGGTCAAAAAATACCTCGAATGCTATCACAATAATCACACCCAGAAAGAATGCATAAGTCAATAAATTGGTCCATGGTCAGATTTAGCTCCTCCAAAATCTGAAACAAAAGAAATACCAAAATGAACTGATCAAACAGAGAAAAAAACTCAAGTTGAAAGCTATAAAGACCTTTGCAACTTCAAATTCCATCACTGGAATTTTTTTTGAGCTTGGATCCATTAGATGGCGAAGAAATTTAGGAGCTCCAAATGTTAAGGAATCCATGTCTTCAGAAGCCACAGCATAAACCTACGATAAATACAAATCTCAACAAAAATTCTACAGAAAGTTTATATTAAAGGAAATGTTACTAACTAATTTGAAGTCGAGTTGGAAAAAAAAAAAAACTAACCAAAGGCATAACAAAAGAAAGGATAATCAAATGGAAAAGGTAAGAGAGGAAGAAAATAACGAATGTTGAAATGGATTTTATGAAAATGAGGTAGAATCTTGTTTTAAAAGGATTAGTAATAATCTTTTCATTTTAATCTTCAAAAATCTTGTTCATAAAATAAGGTGACAAGCAAACAGATATGAACTTGCCTTTCCAGCTTTGCAAAGTGCAGCACACTGAGCCTCTGCTTCTGAGGGTGCCTGTGGAATCCAAAGCTTTAACCAGGTAGTAAACACACAGTATAATAAATACTTGAGTAGTGCAATGTCACCTCAACTACAGGCACTCCCATGAGTCTTAAAAGTCTTTTGCAATCCTCATTATGTTGCTTTGTCACCTGCAAGAGTATGGAGATATGGCTCAACAGAATGCGCCAAAAACCATGCTTCTATCCATAATAAAAAAAAAAAAATTCAAATAAATGTTTATAAGAAATGAAGAGCCACCTTCACTGTCCGTTTACTGAATTTTTCAATGTCTTCCTTGTTTGCAGCCTAAAATGACAAGGAAAAACAGCCCAAGGATGAATATGTTGATTTAAACAAGAAATTCACACACAAAAGGAACCGTAGAGGAAAGTCAAATAACATACAACACATATACCTCTATGGCTTGGGACAAATCATCAGTAGCCTCAGCTCTCTTTGAAAGACTGCATAAAAATTCGAGTGAAAAAATCAGTACGGAAATTTTTATAAGTAACAATTCTGCGAATAGAACACAAACCCTCCCCAGAATAACAGATTACAACTCTTTACTCTTAGAAATAACAAAAAATCCACATAACATACCGCTTTGCCAGCTCTTGTTTCTTCAAATCCGGTGGCTTCCCATCAAAAACATATCTGTAAATGAGAATTGAAAAAGATCAGCATAAAGCAACTCATTCTCAAACGGTTACAATTAAGAAGAGATAAAAAAAATAAAAAAGAAAGAGATATATATATATATACACTGGCTTCATCCCGGCTTCTAGAAGTCTGATTGTCCGATTAAACATACCTTGCAAATGACTATAAGATACAAAACCAACGTCACCATTACACATATAAACCACATTATCATAGAAAGTAAGAAACTGAAATAAAACCACAAATCCCAACTAAGCTTATCTAATTGAAAACTATTAAAGAGATTACTGCACACCTAGTAACTTCGCCAGCTTCATTAGTGAGCATTTCCGTTCCACTTCTTCCCACGACAATCTACACCAAAACCAAAGACACATAACACGTAACGTTAACAAAACTTCACTGTATCAGAATCAATATCATGGTTGAAACTACTCTATGATTTCTCAAGAATAGTACTAACAAGGAACTGATAAATGCTCATGCTAGCGTCAATGGCGATCTTGCGGCCAAAGTAACTCTCGAATTTGTTCTCCTTCATGCATTTTGGGGCATTGTCCGCTAAAAGCTTCGTTAAACCCTAGAAATTAATCAGCATTAACAAAATTAATCTCATAAAAAACAAATTGCAGAGAAAAGAGAGGGATAGGGTGATGAAAGAGTGAAGACCTTAATACCCATTTGGGTTATGTGTGGGAATGGGACATTGCACAGAAAATGAAAACAAGGGTGGCGTGACGGCAAAAGAAGAAAAAGGAACGAGAGAATCAACTGCTTCCCGCGCAATCCTCAGTGACCAGTGTGGGTATTTTCGTACTATTCTAATGGCCCAAACAGCCCATGAAATTTATCTATTCATATTAGCCCAATCCGAAAGTCCAAAACATCAACCCAATCTTGTTTGATTAGGAAAAATTTTATATTATTTTTCAAGTTCTTTTATTGCAGTTAGACACAAAAAAACACTTTTTTGCAGCTTTTTTTTAATTAATATTATACTTCAGCAAATGCGTATAGACTAATTACACTTTAAAATGGTTTTTTTAAGTTCTTAATAAAATAGATTGTAAATGTTTTGAAATAACTTTTTTAGTAAATTGCATTTTTTTTTCTGAGATACAAAAATTATACGTTTTATTTTAACACGTATAGTTTTCCTCCTTTAAATATAAATATATATTATTATATTTGAATTTATATTAATGCAAATAATTCTTCTACATATTTTTTTTCTTTCATTATTTCTTACATGATTAGTATTTAATTTGAACATCGATTTATTAATTTTGTGCATTTCAAATATGAAAATTTTGATGTTACACGAATCTCAAAGACGAGATTAGAAGGTATTTAAAAAAAAATTATTTTCTAAAATATTAAAATCAATAATATAATGTGTAAAATGAGTTATGAATATCATTGAAAATTGTAGAAAAAAGATAAGATACATAGCCTATTTTCACCTATACTAAGTGTATCTCGCTTTAATGTTTGTCATACTCATCAAGTTAAGTGGTGTTAGATTTGCTTAATCCGTGCCCTGATCATAGATTATGTTTTTGGGTTATGATGGACACAGACCCCACACACCACAAGCGTCCTGTTTTGGTTTATAAATTTAACAACGACGACAAAATACATTATAATGTAGAAAATACGTGAACATAATTAGTCTTGTCAATTAAATTTTCATGGTTTATATGAATTTGGTTTGGGGACATTTAAAACATGCATTATTTGTTGAGTGATCCCGCTGCAACCAACGGTAAGAATTTGATTTCACCAATTTACATGTTTAAAATTAGAAAAAATAGCTATATTTTTGTGTATTTTAAATTTTTTGTTAATTAGTATAAATATTTATAGTTTAGCGTTTGTAAAAATAATAATAACTACAACAATTAAATACAATAAAAGAGAGAATTGTGAGCTGTGAATATATAAAGATAGTGTAATATTTAAGAGATTTATAATCTTTTAGCAATAAAATTGATTACACGATATATTGTAATAGTCAAAGTAATTTTAATTTAAAGTAAAAATTTAATGCATCACTCTTGTACAAAATGTATTGATGTTTCAACAAATGATAAGTTTAGTAAAAATGTGAACATATAAGAATGCAATAAATATTCTTATCAAGGTGGTTATAAGAGAAAAGTTAAAGTTGTGTAAAGATATTATTATAATAGATATTAGATAATGCCCTTGTAGATGTAGCGGGCGAGATTGATGAGTGATCCCACTACAACTAAAGAGAAACTGATATAGAGTATCTCATTTGACCAATTCATATGTTTAAAATTAAAAAAAAAAAAAGTTATATTTTTATGTGATTTAAATTCTTTGTTAATTATTATAAATATTCATATTCTGGAATTTGTAAATACAACAACTACAACAATTAAACATAATAAAAGAGAAGAGTGTGAGTTATACAAGAGTAATATGATATTTAGAAGTTTTATAATTGTTTTAGTAATAAAATTGATTATTTTCTCTTCATTTTAGATATATTATTATTTTATTATCTCAATATTATTAATTCTAAGATATAATAATTTTCTCGTTATAGTCAATTAACGTTATACTTTTGGTGCTAAAAGACTAACATTTTTAGTTTAAAATTACGTAAATTTATTTTTTTAAAAAAATTTTATAATAATTTGAGAATATGAAATGATGAAAAATTTTGATACTTGATCCGCCTCCGAGAAATTGTCTTCTTAGCCAAATTTTTTTCCCACGGTAAGAGTCATTTTATAGTTTCAACATAAAATTAAAATTTTCTTCTAATTTTATCCTTGAGATAATTATTATTTCAAAACTTATTTTCTATCTTTTTCTCGATTTATTTATCATATAAACAAATTTTAAAAAAGTATAATAAAATTTTTCATAATTCTTTTTTAATTAAAATACAATAATTAAATGTGCATTTCTTAGTTTTTGTGTCACAACTTTAAACTACTATTTTTTAGAAACTAAGAGAATATTTTTATTTTAAGTATTTTCTTTGTCGATTTTAAGTTAGAAAATGTGTAAAACAATTTAATCAATTCATTTCATGAGAATTGATAGTAAAAAATAATAATAATAATTCGAATAAGACTAATGAAACCGAAGTCACACCTAATTCAAACTAAAAAAAGTTAAATGTACAGTTAAGGCATCCAAAAAATTGTGTTGCCGTATCATTTCCCCTGCCTTAACTGTTTCACTGAAATAGGTGGTGGAATAGAATAGACGGAACTATCCCAACTTTTAACCAAACTTAGCATTCTTCTTTCCAAACTTTGTTATAGAATTCACATGTTACCCCAAACCTTACCCTCTCTATTTTTGGTCCCTGGCAATAATTATGTACTTATCATACATACAATCATACTTTGGACTTGGGCGGTAGCAGCAATTTTAATGCGAAGCCCCCAGTGGTCAGTCCCTTCAGTTTCGCCTACACAAACAAAACCACCAAAGTTAATCATAAAAAGTGAAACGACATTTGGTGCACATTACACGCCAATTACAGCTCCCATTGTTCAAGATTTTATGTGTACACCAATTGAAGATTAGTTTATCAAGTTACATTCCTGTGTACGTCTTAATTAATTAACACGTTTTATCTTTATTTGTCACATTTTGCATAATTTAGTAAAAATTTATTGATTGAATCACTCACACACGCATACGCGGAAACGACACATTCTGCTGCCACAAACAAGCAGCATCATAAAAAAGCAACATGGTGTCGTGGGCAACAAGAAACAACAATAGTAGTAGAACTGCCAAGGTTGAAAACTACTGAAACACCGTGTATGTCTAGAAGTAGGAAGTCGTAGAAGAAAAAGAAAACAGAAGGAAAGGCAGAAGAAGATAATATATATTGAATTGAGAGAAATCAAATCACTCAAAACACTTTGGAAAAAGCGTGAACTATTGTGGGAAGAAAAAGTAGTGATCCCATTGAAAAGCATATAGCATGGAAGGTGGGGTTAACAAGTCAAGCTTTATGGAAAAGAACATTTATGAATTAAGGACCATAACAATGTGTCTTTGTGATAGAGAAACATCCGTAGCCTTTATGAAAGTATATTCATTCATTCACACACAAGCAAAAGGATGTATCATGCAGATTACAGACTCATTCATAAGTTGGGTCCAAAATTTTCCACCAAGGCAATAAACTGCTTTTTTTTTTTTGTGGCTGCAGCTATTACGAATAATGAACACCCTCCTTTTTCTTCAGCTAATAATTTATATTCCATCAAAGTATAAACTTGAAAGTGAACTCAATTCTTTTATATTGTTAACCAAGATAAGAGTTGAAGCAAAAGAGGATTTGTTTATGATCCTACCAATGGTTTTATATTGCTGGCACTTGAGCTTCCGTTCCATACAGGTTGGCAGCACTGTTGCTGGTTTCTCAAGTTTACATGTGTTATGCACAATGTTTGGACATTACTCATTAACATGATTTGGACTACGCATTGTAGTTGCAGTTTCTTTGTGACACGAAGCAACTTGAATAGAGATATTGATATTGCTTTGTAATTGTGGTGTCCTTGTTCCTCAGAAACGTAGCTAGGAATAAGTAAACTACCACCCGTGATAACTTGTCACATACTACAGAACAGCTAAGGGCGGCTAGTTTTTAAAGTGACTCGCTTGAAGATGTATGTTTTCTTCACACACACCAATCAAACAGGATGGAACATACCAAAAAAGAGGTGCTTTCAGTTGATGGTGATTTTCAAACAGAAAAAAGATATAGCATGATTGAGATAGTAGAAGTTAGATTGCTATTTTGAAAGAGACAGTTCAAATGAGATATGAATTTTATCATTAGAATGAGACTACAAGACCAAAGCAAAAGGCAAAACTGAAATTCTGTAAGAGGATAAGAGGGGTAAAATGAAGTTCATGGACTTTTGTCAAACAATGGAACTCTATGGGACACGAAGGACAACATATGAGCTGTGTATCATGTGACCCGTAGTTTGAGTATTTTACCTAGGATTTTTCTAACACATTTTTTACAGTCCTGGAGGCAGGTGCTTTAGCTGCATGTATTTTGAAGTAGCTATGGTCCCCCAAAATATGGAGTTTCTTTATTTTACATGTTTTCTGGTAGCTACCCTTTAGCTTTGTCCTCTTAAAAAAGGTGTTTTTTTCCCATAATATATAGTTTTCTTTGACTACAGAAATAAAATAATCTACCTCCACTTCTACCTTGAGGACGGGGGTTTCGATTGGGATCCGAATTCTCTTCAGTTCACGCGGGAACTTGACGTCCAGTCATTTTTTCGCTTAAGCGAAAATAAGTTATTTTCGCTTAAAATCATGACAAAATAGCTTAAGCCAATTTTCATAAAACAAATGGCTTAAACAAAAAAAAATGGCTTAAGCGAAAATAATAGGCTTAAGCGAAAAATAGACAAAGAGTTTTAATTTTCACTCAATTTTCTCTTTTTCTTTCCCCTAAACATAACATTTCCTCCTCAACAATATTCTGGTACTCTACCGTTATTACTTGCAACAGAACCGGTATACTTGCCGTATTTGAAGGAAAATAAACCAACACTCTTATACTTAACTCTTCTCTTTCCCTCCTAACTCTTTTTTCTTTCAACCTCATACCTAGCTCCTCTCCTCTTCTTCTCATTCTCAAATCACCAAATACCTATCTCTCCCTTTTTTCTCTATACTCAACTTTTCAATTTCCTCTTCTTTCACTGTCACTACTATATCACCAGCTCTCCTTGTCTACATCCATTCTTAATCCTCTATTTTCTCTACACTCAACTCTTCACTTTCTTTTTCCTCCACTACCAAAATTTTTTTATGCAAAATTAGCTTAAGCTAATTTTTCTGGCTTAAGCGAATTGTGTATTCGCTTAAGTGAATTATTTTATCTTAAGTGAATTTTGTGTGTTTGAAGATATGAAGGCTGGGTGTAGAGAAAAGAGAAGATTAAGAATTGATGTAGACAAGGAGAGCGGGTAATATAGTAGTGACGGTGGAAGAAGAGGAAATTGAAGAGTTGAGTATAGAGAAAAAAGGAAGAGATAGATATTTGGTGATGTGAGAATGAGAAGAAGAGGAGATGAGTTAGGTATGAGGTTAAAAGAAAATAGAGTTAGGAGGGAAAGAGAAGAGTTAAGTATAAGAGTATTGGTTTATTTTCCTTCAAACACAGCAAGTATACCTGTTTTGTTGCAAGTAATAACCGGTAGAGTACCGGAATATTCTTGAGGAAGAAATGTTATGTTTAGGGAAAAAGAGAAGAGAAAATTAAGTGAAAATTAAAACTCTATCCATTTTTCGCTTAAGTCTATTATTTTCGCTTAAGCCATTTTTCGTTTAAACTATTTTTTTTTTCGCTTAAGTCATTTGTTTTATAAAAATTAGCTTAAGCTATTTTGCATAATTTTAAACAAAAATAACTTATTTTCGTTTAAGTTCATTTTTTTGCTTAAACAAAAAAATGACTGAACGTGTAGTTTTTACGTGGATTGGAGAGAATCCAAATCGTTTGGATTGGGGGAGGTGGTTAGCTTTATTTTTTTGCCTTGGTTACTCGTGGAAATGCAAGGGGTACTAGTGGTATTTCCCATAGCAAGGAAAATATAGGATCCTTTTCCCTCTGACAACGCTGTCCAGTGCCTAACCAAGGACAGGTTTCCACCTCATTCCCCTCTTCAGTCTTCAGTATAATGAAAATTTAAAAATCTTGACTTATGGCACAAGATTGTTTGATTTTGGTTTGCATATTTAACTATGAATGACAGGAGTTTACTGTTACACGAGCACTTAAATTGATTACCAACTATTAAGAGTATTCAACTATTCATTATGGCTTATCAAGATTATTCTTATGAGATAATTAAGAGCATATTATTAGGGAAACCATGTGATATATGCACGGTTCAGCTGTAAAGAACATAAATAGTCGACAAATTTGATGTATATGATACGGAAATAGCTACTAGGTCACATGCTATGCGTCAAGCAGCGGAAAAGTCTTCCCTATTTCTATAAGTATACTCTTCCTTTCAATTTGACCTGTGAGCTTTACTGAAAAGCTTTCTAGTTTAGGAATAGTGATACAACGCCACAAACGGATTGTTCAGCGTAGACAAACATATCTATAAAAGTGGAGTGGGACATATATGTTGGGTTGATTAATACCATTGATTGGTTAAGCATCCATAATCTATATATATTATTAAACTTCCTTCACTAAAAATACTATCATGACATTTTCTTTAATTTTTTATTTTTTTACTAAAAATGATATATGGCATTTTTATAATTTTAAAATTTTAGATTCTTTTAATTTGTTACTTTATTTTTTAATTAATTTTTTATTTATCACATCTATGTCTTTCTTAACTTTTTATATTTTCCACAATTTAATTTTTTTCTTCTCATTAGATATTTTATGTATTTCAATAATTAAATTAGTATAAAATAAGTTTTTAGGAATTAAACAAAGAATTAAAAATTATTTACTAATAACATAATATAAATAATTATTATATAAAAATTCAAATGTTAATTAAATATACTATTAATTCATAAACCTACCTAATGCAAAATCTAATTAATTAATTAAAAATAGGAATTAGCAGCTTAAACCTGTAGCACTTGCATGTTGCATCCATTTCAATTTTGTGATTTGTTATGCCCCCATCAATAATACAACACCCGTAATTTGTGTTTGAGCGTTTGAAGCCGCTGAAGGGGTGAGCACAGAGACCAAGAAGAGAGAGAGAGAGCATGATAAATAGGAAGGTGAACAACAGAAGCAAACAGTTTGAGGCATTAAACTAAGGACATCCTGTGTCATTTTATGCTCAAACCTTCCTTTTTTTGGGTTACATGTTCACCATCACCATTTTCTCTCAAATCCCAATTCTTTTTTGAATATCTCCACAATGGTAAGCCTAATTCACTCAACATTTGAATATCTCTCACTCTAAGGAAGTAGTAGTTCATGATGACTTTCAAATTTGTTGTTCTTACAGAAAGAGCAACTCCAACTCAAGTCCATAACTCAATGGAAGAAACAAAAAGGTGGATTCAAGGCTTCCATGTTTATTTTTGGTAAGCATAATATGTCTTTAAGCAATTACTCTCTCTTTGTTCTGAGCTTAGAATGCAAACTATGTTCATCTTTTCTCTTCTTTGTTCCTGCAGTGTTGTCAGCATTAGACAACATGGGTTTCGTGGCAAACATGGTGAGTTTAGTCCTATACTTTTATGGGGTCATGCACTTTGATCTCTCTAGCTCTGCCAACACCCTCACAAACTTTATGGGCTCAACTTTCTTGCTCTCCCTTCTTGGTGGCTTCATCTCAGACACCTACTTCAGCAGACTAACTACATGCTTACTTTTTGGATCACTAGAAGTTATGGTAAGTGCTAAACAACATATTTATATTGCTATTCCCAATGGCATGTCCAATTAGACAAAAGTAAAGTGGAACCAGTTGATTCAAAAAGGTTAAGTTTGTTTCTGATGTTGGCATTTTTTATAGGCTTTGATAATGCTCACAGTTCAAGCTGCTTTAGACCGTTTACACCCAGATGCTTGTGGCAAGTCAAGCTGTGTCAAAGGTGGCATAGCAGTCATGTTTTACACATCATTGTATTTATTGGCTTTGGCCATGGGAGGAGTCAGAGGATCCATGACTGCGTTTGGTGCTGACCAATTTGATGAAAAAGATCCAAGAGAAGCAAAAGCTCTTGCAAGCTTCTTCAACTGGCTTTTGCTTAGTTCAACTGTGGGATCAATTATAGGGGTTACAGGGGTTGTGTGGGTTAGCACCCAAAAAGCTTGGCACTGGGGCTTTTTCATAGTAACCGTGGCCTCCTCCATTGGCTTTGTCACCCTTGCTCTTGGCAAACCATTTTACCGCATCAAAACTCCTGGTAAAAGTCCCATATCGAGAATTGCTCAGGTTTGTCACCTCTATGTAAAGTCCCTCATCGACATTAATTTCAAAATTGAACTATTTTGAAGAACCAAACTAACTTTTGTTCACTACAGGTTATTGTTGTGGCTTTTAGAAACCGAAAGCTACCACTGCCAGGGTCTCCTGAAGAACTTTATGAGGTCCTTGAAGATGTTACATTAGAGAAGATTGCGCACACCAACCAGATGAGGTGACTCTCTCTATCTCCATGCTAGAAATTAAAAGCTTAACAACTTGCATAATAATGTTGTACTATTTAATAATGTTCTGCAAATGACAAGACAATTAACTAATACATGGTCCAGCACAATGGCGTGTTAAGATTCCTTTTTCTTCATGTACGACGTAGTAGGTAATGCCAAGGACTCTGGGCCTACTATCACTTCTGCACGCTTGGAGCTGCAGCCATACGGAGAATGATCAGGGAAAATATATCAACACCGCTTCTAAACAGCACTCACAGGAAAAAAGAAAAATAATAAGTAATTCCTGACATTTAACTCAGTGAAAAAGTTTTTAAACAATAGTACTAGCTGCAATCAAACTCTCTTGTTTTTTTAGTTGGCTTAATTCAGGGTACTATGCTTAGAGAAAATGAAAAGCAATTTCCTTCTCAACAGCATCAAATCAGCCAAGCTCAATGATTCTTCATCTTCCCTTTTTTTAAAGATTTTTTATTTCTTTATTTTTTTTAAAAGATGGGTGAAGTTGCCTAAGTCAAACTAAAAAGCCAATTCCCCATGCATAATAATTGAATAAAAGTTCTATGTTTGGTCATGTTTCTTACAACTTGTCTATAATTATATGACATGATAAGTATACAATAAAAAAATTATATAAAGTGGTAGAAATATATTATAAGAATACAATAAGATTCAAATTGGTTCGAGCACATTCATATAAATGTATTAAAATGGTCTGGTTTGTTGAATCAGGTTTCTCGATAAAGCTTGCATTCTTCAAGATAACGTTGAACCGAAGCCATGGAGGGTTTGTACAGTGACACAAGTTGAAGAAGTGAAGATCCTAACCAGAATGTTACCCATATTAGCCAGTACCATTATAATGAACACTTGTTTAGCTCAGCTTCAAACATTCTCAGTTCAGCAAGGGAATGTGATGAACCTGAAACTTGGTTCTTTCACAGTGCCTGCACCATCCATTCCTGTTATCCCCCTCCTTTTCTTGTTCATCCTGATTCCCACTTATGAACTCTTCTTTGTGCCATTCGCACGTAAGATCACTCACCACCCTTCAGGAGTTACACAGCTTCAGCGTGTTGGTGTTGGGCTAGTACTCTCTTCCATTTCAATGACAATTGCTGGGATTGTAGAAGTGAAAAGAAGGGACCAAGGAAGGAAGGACCCATCAAGGCCAATAAGTCTTTTTTGGCTATCTTTCCAATATGCTATATTTGGTATTGCAGACATGTTCACTCTTGTAGGACTCTTAGAATTCTTCTACAGAGAAGCACCTGCAACCATGAAATCACTGTCAACCTCTTTCACATGGTTGTCTATGTCCCTTGGTTACTTCTTGAGTACTGTCTTTGTCAATGTCATTAATACTGTTACCAAAAGGATCACTCCAAGCAAACAAGGATGGTTGCATGGATTGGATTTAAATCAAAACAATCTCAACTTGTTCTATTGGTTCTTAGCAATCCTTAGCTGCCTTAATTTTTTTAACTTCCTTTATTGGGCCTCTTGGTACAAGTACAAATCAGAAGACAACAATTCTAAGAAAAATTTGAAGGGTGTAGCAGAAGCACAAACACCTCTCAAAATGGTTTGTGAGAGAAGACAAGATGAGGAAAAAAAAAAGGATGGAAGCATCCAAGATATGAGAGCTAAGGCTAAAGAAAGCAGCCAAACAAGTGAGGCCAATACTGAGGGACCCTCTTCCTCTGATGAAACAGATGATGGAGAAAAAGAAAGAGACTCTAGAGAAAGGAAGCATAGATAAGGTCAGGAGGCTCAAGACATGACTTGGTATTAAGGACTGGATATGATAAGTTGTATGAGTAAAATACTTAAATAGATGGTGGTTGAAATCTCTCTTATTCTACAGGTGTGCTTGTATTATTGATTGGTACTGTTGGTTCCGGCACTATCTTTGTGTCTGTTGTAAGCAGAGTCAAAGGTTTTTTTTTTTTTTTTAAATTGTTCTTTTTTATCATGTAAGTTTATTTATCACTTGCACTTGTAATTGTCTGTTAAAAGATGCTTACTAATTGTTGACACATGTCAAAGATTATAACACTTGTGAAAACTAATACAATAATAAGGCACACGCTTGTCTGTTGGGCGATGCTTGATCCTTTGATTGGTTTAATGAAAACAGAGTGAAAGGATAGATGAAATTGAAAATAATAAATTTTCTTCAGGAAAAATAGGAATAAGGGAAATTCTTTAATTGGATCGATACACAAATATAATTCACCCTCAATAAGCTGATGTTAGAATCACCAAAGGGAGAAAAGGAAAGCAAAGTAATGGCTGCAGGAGTCAATATGTACACACTGAACATGCATGAGAAGTTCTAAAACATTTACCTATTAGTATCTACACAGCCACGTTTGGTGCCAATAAATAAATGATTTCATCGAATTTTGGACCTTCTGTCATTTTAAAATATGATACTCTCATTTTCTTCTATTTTGGATCAAGACCTTGTGCAAAGAAAAGATTTCTTCTATAAATTCGGGATGACTTGAATTCATGTAATTTGATTCTTACAATCTCAATCTGTGGTTTTTCATGTTTATATTGCTTCCTTGCTTCATTTCTCATTGTCCCTATGATTTGGCTAATTGTAGACTAATGTTAGGATTGTTCTTACAATTTAAAAATTGGTGAATTGTGTAAAATTAAACAACACATAGATTGATTACTAAGAGATAAGAGGTGATTGAACTTACCTAAGGAATTGAATAAGGGATAGGGTTTAATTGCCAAATAATTAAAATCAGACTAATCACGTGAATGTGATGGCATTGACCTTTGAATTGAGAGTGAAATAGGTTGCATGAGAAAAGTATTGGAATGAATTGAAGCTAACTACTTGTATACAGTTTTTATCTTATTTGGTGAGCTTTTGTGCACAAATTTTCTCACAATATTGTTATTTTAATTTTAGTTAAAATCAATTTATACTCTTTCAATTTTATTCGTAAAAATAGCGATTCAACTGTGAAATTGGTAATGAAATTACAATCCTCTCATGAATGATATTCACTTGTCCCTATGACACTTGTGATTTGGAACAAATGTTAAGCATACCTATCAATATACAAATTAAAGAGTGTAATTAATTTATTTATATTAAAATTATTTTAACTTTCAAACATGAGATTCACTTTTACTTTTCTCATTCATGATAAGTGTGTTTCTCATTATGATAAATGTGAAAAATATATAAGAATCAGGTAGAAATATGGCATAATTGAAAAGATAATAATTAATATCGTCTTATATTTTAACTAAATAGATAAATAATTTTTTTTAAAATAATAAACAGATAAAAAAAATAAAAGAAACAATAATAATGAAGTGGATTATAAAATGGTGAGAAAATATTTATATCTTACAATAATATATCATTTTTTTTTTCTATTTAAGCAACTCCCAACTTCAATTATGCAATTCTTAAACATTGTACGTGCAAAAAATAGTTAAAACTAACTTTTTATTATTTCTATATAAATCTTTAAAAAAAACATAGTAAAAGGATCTCGGATCTGCCATGATTATTAGAAGTGAATGAATCTAAATGAAACTTTGCAAGAAATAGGGCGTGCCATATTTGTAATGCAGAACACTCTGGACGTACTGTCTGATGTAAACTTTCATGTGAGCAACAGAGCAATGTTCTTCATCTCCATTGCATCATATTCAACCTTTTTCTTGGAAATATTCAAAAAGTATACAGAGATGAGATGCTCTACTATCCTTATGCCCAACTGCTAGGGAACATAATGCTATACATAAATTAAATATTTTAAGATTAAATTACACATTTAATTTTTATTGGTCAACATTTATTTATGAATTAGTTATTATATTTAAAAAAAATTATCTATTAATTTATATTCAAGTGTTTTATTACATTTTGATCTTTACCATTATAATATTATTAAAAAAAATTTAATGAACAAGTACTTTACTAATGGTGTTATATAGACATGAATTAAAATTAGAGACTAAATGTGTATTTTGTCTAAACTTTAAAACAAAAGCTAACAATATTATTAAAATACTGATTGAGAAATAACATATTTAATTAAAAATACTTAATACTGCTTATTTAACATCGTTAAAATACTCAATAACAAAATTTAAAATGAAAATATAATTATTTTAATTTAACAATCTAAAAACATTAGTTAAAAACATGAAAGACAGTGGCAGGTCCATCGATCTTTTAAAAGACAAACAAATGCTGGAGAAAGTGAACTGGTGTGATGTGTAGGAGTTGGAAGCAAAGTGGGCAGTGACAAGCCATGCACCACATTTTCTGGTATCTGATCCTCAATCAGCGACGCTATACTAGAGTCGTCACCACTGTTCCATTGCTTTTGTTTTTTTCAGCATTCACAGTGAAAGTTAGAAATAGGTAATGGGGTTTTGAACGACGAGTTTCACTTTATAGGAGCAATGGAGCATCCACTTAGAATCCCACACGGCCCGTGTCCGTCAATAAGCCATAATCCACAATTCTACTACCATTCAACATGGATTTACTAACTTACTGAGTAAACTCCTTTAATTTAAATTCGGATATGAAGAAATTAGTTTTTGTAAAGAGAACTGTATTATACTATTATTATTCTATTATACTATTATTATTCAATTCTATATATAATTTAACATTAATCAATTATTTAAAATATATTTAATTATTTTTAATTATTATAAAAATTATTTTCGTAATGCATTCTAGTTGGTTGATATTTTTTTATAATACTAGTGCACCAAAATTACGCTCAAAATAAATATTCATGATGTCTTAATTAATGATATGATATAATAATATTGTTAAAAATTAGTTATGTTACTATCAAAGTAAGGAGGCTTCAAAATTTTACGACCGAAAACCCTACTTTTAGAGACCGCGCACCTTGGGTTAAGCTGGCCCTTACAAGCTATGTAACATTTGTGAGGTTTAATATATAATTTTTTGCGAGGTTATTGTTATGAGCACAATTATTAAATTATTAAAAGTAGCAATGAAACAGTAATAGAAATAGAAGTAGTGCTATTAATGGAAAATTGCATTAGTTTGCATAAAAATGAGTAATTCTTCCATAAAGATGAGATAAATACTCAGAGATAGTACAGAAAAATTGCAGATAAAGAAAAACAGAAAGAAAGAAGAACCAAGAGAGAAAGGTTCACTCAAAAGACAACTAAGCAAACCCTCTCTCTCAAAACCGTTTGTTATATATATCATTGCCTTTCCATTGGTAATCTTTTAATTGCATATTTGCCCTCTTCTGACACATGTTTTTCCTGACTCCCACACTGTCATGTGCTGGTCCCACATGAACTTGATTTGTTAAAAGACTACTCTGCCCCTTGCATTGTTTGCTCTATTACAATTTCCCCTCCATTAAGAACAACCTTGTCTTCAAGGTTGAAATCTGGAAATGCTAACTCCAAAGCTGACTGGTCCTCCCAAGTTGCTTGTGCCTTGTCAAAGCCTTGCCACTAAATCAAGTATTGTTGAACAGGTTTTGAACCTCTAAGGATTGTTCAAGTGTTAGAGAACACATTTTGGATAGATGATAGGTTGTAAATCATTAGAGGTGATGGGAAGTGGAATGTATGGCTAGTCATGATTTCCTTTGCAATATTTCAACTGAGATGCATGGAACATGGGATGGATCTTGGTGGACTCAGGTAATAAAAGTTTGTAAGTCACTGAGCCAATCTTCTTAATAATGGGAAATGGACCAAAGTACCTGAGGTTCAATTTCTAATTTTTTTCTTAGAGCTATTGAATGTTGTCTATACGGTTAGAGTTTAATTAACACCTTGTCTCCAATCTTGAACTTGAAATCTCTCTTCTTTTTTTTATCGACATACTTCTCCATTACTTGTTGTGCCCTTGCTAAATTGCTTTTCATCTTAGTTAAAACTTGATCTCTCAACACTAACTGTTCTTGGACAGATGCATCACGTTTTGAATCAGGGACATATCTAATGATTTAAGGAGGATTTCTGCCATACACTACTTTAAATGGGGTCATACCTGCACTATTGTGGTATGAAGTGTTGTACCAAAATTATGCACAGGCCAATAATTTTGCCCAATCTTTTGGATTGTCATGAGTGAAACATCTCAGATACAGCTCCAAACATTTGTTCAATGCCTCTGTTTGACCATCAGTCTGAGGATGGTATGCAGTGGACATATTCAAGGATGTACCCAATTTGAAGAGGTGTTGCCAAAATTGGCCAGTGAACACCTTGTCCCTAGCTGACACAATAGTCTTAGGAAAGCCATGAAGTTTCACTACCAAGTTAATGAATGTTTTTGCAACTTGTTTGCTGGAGTAGTCTAATTTCATGACTACAAAGCGACCATATTTGGAAAGTATATCTACCACCACAAGTATCACAGTATAGCCATGAGAAGGAGGAAGTCCAGTGATGAAGTCCATTGCTAAATCTTCCTAAATCTGGTGAGGTATGGGCAATGGTTGCAGTAAACTTGTTAGCAATGTAGTCAAAGTCTTAGCCTGTTGACAAATCAAGCAACTATCAACATATTCCTTAACATCAACATGCATGTTCTGCCAATAGAATTGAGAAGTGATTCTACCTAATGTTTTAGCATAACCAGAGTGACCACCAGTTAAAGAACTATGATACTCATGCAAAATCTGTTTGTTCAAGGACTCTTTGGTAGGAATCACCAATCTGCCTTTCCAAAACAAAAGTCTATCTTGAGATGAATAATGAGGATTGGGCAGTTGTTTCTGCATACATTTCTTTAGAATAACTTGTAGCTTAGGATCTTCTTGAATGACCTCTTTCAA